TTTTCAAGTGGCTTATCTATATATTAACAATAAAAATTGATGTTCTTAACTAATTTTCATAAATTTTTAATTAATATTACAAATAGTTTCAGGTGTAGTTAGTAAATTTTTCAAATGAGTATTTATATTTTTTAATCATGAATAAGGACCATGATTTTTTTATTAAAATTTCAATAATTTAATATATATATATATATATAATTGTGATTAATGTTCTTATATGTCTTAATTGTTATTTCCTCTAGAAACACCCCCAAGTGAGTATTCCTTTAGCCTTTTTTATAAGTTATTTTTATCAATCTCATCAATATTAATGTAAAAAAAATATAAAGAATAAAAGTGTGTAAAATTTTAAATATATCCTTATTAATAAATTCAGAAAGTGATATTATTTTTTTTTCTTTATAAAAAATAATTTTTAAAATATATTTTAAATATTATATAAAAAATCACATCATAATTTACAACTGAAACTAAATGAATTTTTTGAAATGTAATTTATAAATGTTATCGGAAAAAGCAATAAGTAGTGCGTAGCAGGTAAGGCATAATTCTGGTGCTACAGACAGCGTCGTATCAGAATACGTACGGAACATATCATTTTGTGGGGCCCAGGTGACGCCTATCTCCACTACTTTCAATGCATGTAACAGAATCTGCGTGAGAGAGTGAGAAATCGAGAGAGATCAACCGCAATCTTCCAACAGAATAAGCTATTTTGACACTTTCCCAGAAAATACTTTGATTTTCTATATATATATATATATATATATACACGTACGTACGTACGTACGTATAACTATCCAAGTAGAATAGAATGAAGAATTGCCTAATCTAATTAGAGACGGCTCTTTTTAAAACAATTCTTGCATTCATATAAATTCTAACTGGAGACTTGCATTTAAATGATCATAATTCCTTCTGAAAAAAAAAATGTGTGAAAACATTCAACAAATAATGCATTGATATTTCATAAATTTGTGAATGATATTATATTGATTGTAATAGGATAACGTGTTTGATACACATAAAAGTACTTTTTAAAAAGGAAATGAGAGATATGTCTGGAGAAAATCGAATAGGAGCATTTCTTTTTCTTTTCTTTTTAAAAAATAATAATAAAATCTCTTAATCTCACTAAAGTCTTTAGAGACTTCTACATGAATAAATTTTAAAGTAAAAAAATTATTTTATCTTTATTAAAAATAACAAATCTCAATTATAATTTTATTATGTGAATTGCAATAGTTGAATAAGAAATCATCACTTGTCAAGCGTAATTTTTATTATTGAGAAATATGTTCTTATCATAACTTTTACTTAAGGAATAATAATTTTTATTCTGTGAATCATAAAAGTTAAATAAAAAATCATAACTTATCAAGTATAATTTTTATTATTAAAAATAAGTTTTTAAAATAACAAATCTCAATTAAAAATTTTGTTTAAGGAATAATAATTTTTATTCAAAGAATCACAAAAATTAAATAAAAAATTATAACTTGTTAATAAAGATAAAATGATCTTTTCACTTTAAAATTTATTAATATAGAAGTCCTTAGAGATTTCAATAGAATTATGACATTTTAAAAGACTAGATTGTCATTTATATAATTTTAAAAAAATTTTATTGTATTTTTTAATAAAAAAGTACTTCTTTACTTTCTAAACATCACATATGAAGCAGGAGCGTATATGTTAAAAAAAAAAAATTAGATGAGGATGTGTGGTATGACAATAGTATTCTTCAAGGGTTATGTCACCTTTTATTTCTTCTCTATTGATGTTGTTGTTAATGCCAAGTGTCTACTTGTTTCAAGACAGTATAATATTATTCTCACAATTACCAAATGTCAACTTCAATAATTAGCTTACCTAAAAGTAGATAAAAATTTTTAAAAATTATAGAAAAAGGACTAATAAAATTACACAAAAGACCTTAATCAATATTAATCTTTTTTTTATTTTAGGGTCCTTTTCAATAATTTTGTAGTTTTTTTTGTAATTTTTGAAGTTTTTATATATTTTTTGTAATTAAAAACAATTACATCATTGCAAGATTGGAAGGAAAGCTAAGTTGTAAGTATCAATTCATATTGAAGTAAATTAGAATTTTGATTACAAATTGGGTTATATTAGAAACTAAAATATTTTATTCATGTTTTAATGGCAGCGGCCTCTAACATGAAATTATTAACTATTTAGTAGGCTGCATCAATGAACTTGAACTACCTAAGTTTTTCACTGGTGAGGAGCTGCTCGTCTAACACTATTGCACTCACTTATGAGTCATAGTTTTCTCTAATACTAACAACTATGGGGTGACATCCCCTAATCTAATCTCCTCATGTACAAGTAGAAACTAATTAGATTTGAGTCCCATGAAAAATAAGTAAGATAGTCCCTCTATAACAATGGGACAATGACTGCCTCTCGATTGCAATAGTTGGCAGCCTGACTAGCTTCTAATTCCAACAATAAGTAGCCAATACTACATAGATTTACAACATCTACTCCTTTTCCTATAGGTGAACTCTCACTTCATATGATCAGCAATATACAAATATTCAACACGTAGCATGCATATTTATATGTATCAATAGCATGCAAATTACTAACATCATTTTTATCATAACATGCTCAACACTTTTTCCCAACACAATCATATTTACCCAATATCTCAATTCACAATTTCATCTCATTATACTCACTCAACAAGATAAATCATATATATTTATATGTATATATATATATATATTGATACACCATTTTTATCAATTCAAATACATATTTACACGCATCACATAAAATTTTCTACTTTGCCACAATTGCATCAAAAATTTATTTACAAATATCATGTGATTTTCAATCAAATCTTTTCAACAATAATTAATTAAGCATGCAAATGTACAACTAAATTTTTCTCAGTTACCTCAAACTTTTGAGAAGTCAAAAGTTTATCCTTCAAAATACACACTTTCAAAACTCTTCTCAAGCTTAAATGGTGCCAATAGTGATTAATTTACAATTAACTGCACCTAAAATTATTGATATCCTCATTAAGATAAATCCTAACATTTTAACTCAACGCTCCCAACTCACAAAATCACAACATTTCATTTGCAATATACCCATTAGAATTATTAGCTCTCTTTAACTCATATTAACATCAAGGCATCATCCCATTGTCATTAATGGCCTTTGAAAACCTCAGACAACCTTCGTTAATGACCAATTTTGTGTATTAATGGCACCACACACTAAAAATGAGTAAAGCCATAAATATTAGGTTTAAATAATCTAAACAACTCTCATTAACCCTATTTAAGTTAATGAGTTTGGGTTTATAGTTATTATGAATTGAAAATCATCATTGTATGCTAAACTTAGCTTTTCAAAATGGTGTAGAGAGGAAGAGAAGATGTTAGTAATGGCTGACCTTAGCGTAGAGACAAGCTTGAATCACTCTTTCAAGCCTTAGCAGACCAAGACATGAGCTCATCTTCCCTCTCTTTCAAAACTCACTTTCTTATCTATTTTTTGTGAGTCTGAATTGCATTTATTATTAGAAAAAATTGGCCATATGCTGTGACGCTTGGCACAATAAGTCACTCCTTTATTATTTGCCACTCGTGCTTCACGGTGGAGGTGGTGCACATCGCGGCATATGGCACATACTACATTTTCCTTTGATTTTCTCTTTTTTTAATGTCCAAGTGATTTAACTTCATTTCAAACACAAATCTTGGTCTAAAATGGTAACCCAAACATTGATTGGACCTCTTTAGTTATACATCACAATAATTTATCAAATTACTCTAATTTAGCTTAGTTAATGAGGGTTAATTTTCCCAAGATGTTATGACTTAATTGTCATTAAAGTTTTTGATAATGATTAAAATACCCTTTAATTTTAAAAAAAATGCAATAAAGTTTTTGAGAGAATGACATATAGGAATTAATTGAAATTAGGTCCCAACCAATTTCAAAATGTCAAATTCAAGATATTTACAAGTTTGGCTCTCAATCTTGTAACTTCATTGTAATTCAAATTTTAACAGAAAAATAAATTTGTTTACTCATCAACTATGTTAAAATTTGAAAAACAAGTTTCAAATTCATTACAATAAAATTGCAAGATTGAGGGCCAAATTTGAAAATCCCTAAAGTTTGACACTTTAAAATTAGTTGGGATCTAATTTGAATTAATTGATCTCCTTAGGATTTATCTGTTATCCTCCCAAGTTTTTTTTGTTCACAATTTTAGTTCTAAAATTCAGAACTTTAATTTAGAAATAACTCAAATGGCTTAGGTAACTTTCTCCCATTATTTTTATTCAGTCAACAAAATGCAACAAAATTTTTCGTTCACAACTTTAGTTCTAGAATTCACAACTTTAGTTCAATAAAAAATTAAAGCAGTTTAGAAATTCACAACTTTCTCTCACCATTTTTCTTCAATCACCAAAATGCAACAAAGTATTTTTGGTTTGTTCACAACTTTACAATTTTCTCTCACCATTTTTCTTTACTTTTTTGAATTAAAAGATCTTTTTGTCATTTCATCAAAAACTTTAATGCCAATTAAATCCCTTAAGATTTAGAAGGCATTATTACATTTTGCAAGACAAAATTATTATTTTCTTATTTCAAAGGGATTTATTTATCATTTTTCCAATTAATAACGTAGGCTTAAAAAAATGTAACAAATAAGCTGCAAATATCAATAGATATAATTATGAATAAAAATGAAAAATTATCATGAAATTCTTCACAATCATTTAAAATAATCAAATGTTTCATAAATATATGTTAGGTCTTTAAGGACTCAAGGGTAAATAAAATTGAAATGAAAAAAATTAATTTTGCTCATTTGAGAAGTTGCAATTAAAAAGGAAAGAAGATTAAACCAAAATATTTAAAAATGACCAATTTGACAAATAAAAAATCTCTGTTATAATTTAAAAATTATTTGAAAGAAAAATATTTTATTTACAATCATGGGTTTTGAAATTACAATTATTTGAATTTTTCATTCTATCTCCCAGCTTCCCATGTGATTTACTGATCCAGAGGCATGCTAAGGACCGTAGTGGGAATGTTATTGTGGGGCCCATGTAACTGAAACCACCTCCTCTCTCACACACCCAGATTATCGACCTTTATATGTACACACAGCTTTCTCAGCCCCGGTTGATTAGTTTCTACCGACTTGCGCTTTTATGAATCTCTGATAATTGTTTTTCGCTTCTGCGTCTGTTGCAGAGAAATTGATAATTAGAAATCATATTCATGCTCGACAGTCGACACAAGAGAAGAGAGACCAAATTATGTACGAAGATACGTCCACTGGGTTTTCTGCGGGAACGGCGTCGTCTTTGTTGTCAGAAGATTGCTTCTCTCAAATGGCTTCTTCTTCTGTGGCCTCACACACTCTCAGCCCTAGCTTCCCGGAGAATGTGGGTCTTTCTATGGAAAACTTAGCCTTCACTAATTCACAACGCGCTATTATGATTCCCAACATCGACGCTTCTTCTTCTGCATTCACTGAACCGAATCCGTTGGAAGATGATTCAAACCAGCTTGTAATTTCCTTTGACCAGTCCAAATGGCACGACGCTGCTATGAATATGAACTTCCATCACCAAAATTATCATCAGCCTCGAGATCGACCACTTCCTTATCCCACTGCATCAGATCTTCGTCACCGTGATGTTCTCTATAGCTTTCCCAGTAGTGCTTACACTTCTTCGTTTGTAAACTCAACATCCTTAATCTCTTTTGGAAACCCAGCTACGCAGAACACCGTTGAACTTCAAACTAATCCTTCTGGCCGCTCAACATTTGGAGCTGAAATCACAAATGTGTCCTCTGTTCTGTTTCAGGACTCGTTTTTGCATAGGAATCTGCCTGCGGGTCCTCCGGCAAACAGAGAGTGGTTTCAGTCTCTGCCAGCTGCTGCAAGAAATGATTTTCTGATATTTAATGGGGACAATGATGATGACAAAGAAAGAAGTGGGGTTGTTTCATATTTAGATGCTGATCGTGGTAGAGAATTTGGTGATAGTAATAATGATTTCCTCAAGATTTCCCAGGATTTGGCTCCTCATGGCAGATCAAAAGGAGGAGGAGGAATAAGAGGAGGCAAAAGGGTCAGACAGGTCACTATTGAGAAGAAAAGAAGAGTGGATTTTACCAGCAAATTTGATGCGTTAAGAGAACTCATCCCAAAACCCACCAAGGTAAATGCATTAATTTTCTCCCCTGTTAAAATATCATAGATTAATCCCATACTAGCTCAAATGTATTTTTCAACTTTGTAATATCGGTTTTATAAGAAATTGGGAGATTCTTGTTGGCAATCTTCTTCCTTTTTACTTGTTTGATATGAAAACTCAGAATGATAGAGCATCTCTGCTGTGTGGTGCTATTGAGTACATCCAAGAGCTTCGTAGATCAGTGGAAAATCTCACATTATTAGTGAATAAGAAGAGATGTGGGAAAGAGAGGATCAAGAGGCACAAGGTTGAAGAAGAAGGAGAAGAAGATCAAGAAGAAGCTGCTTTAGGGGATTTGGAGAGCTGCAACTTGAAGCCACTAAGTGAACGAGATCATGAACCTGTTCTCCCTCACAACAGATGCATGATTAGGAGCAATTTGCTTCAGAAGAAATCTGCAGACACAGAGGTTGATGTTCGAATCATTGAGGACGAGGTGACGATCAAGCTTGTTCAGAGAAAGAACACAAACTGCTTGCTGTATGCTTCCAGGGCTCTGGATGAACTTGAGCTTGATCTCCAACATGTTGCTGGTGGACACATTGGCGATTTCTGCAGTTTCTTGTTCAACAGCAAGGTTAGTGATGATCGATGAGTATATATGGTTCTGTGAATCTTAATTATATGCTTATTATGTTGACCCCTTTAGACTGCATAAGTATATGAATGATTTCTTCCTACTGCTACTACTGCAGATATATGAAGGTTCCTCTGTGTGTGCAAGTGCCATAGCCAACAAACTCATTCAAGTCATGGAAGTACCTTGAGAGACTGCAATTAGGATATGGCCCCTTCAGAAAAATATGCTTTTTATTTACGTCAAAGCTGCTAATAATTTGTGCCTTCTGTTAGTTCGTTTCCTCCTTCCTGTCTAGCTAGCTTTGTTTAATGAAGCTTCTTAACTTTTTATTAGTTCAAAATCATGATGTGATCCCTTGAACTAACTTAATTATGAGAAACAAACATCGTCACTTCCAGCCATAACAAGGATAATATTAATGTTGCGTTTGCCGAGGAATTTGATTATTTGAATATGGGTAAAATTCATATTTTGGATCCATAAATTTTTCCATATTTCTTTCTTTATTTCTTTTTTCTAATTTCAAATCCTTCCTACATTTTAATTGTTTGAAATGCTAATTGCTCTAACCCTGTCATCCTCTTTCCATTTTTATTTCCCATCTTCCTTTTTTATTGTCCATAAAATTGAAATTTTTTATACTATTCAAATAGAAAATGTTAAATACATAAATTTTAAATGTGACATTTTAAATTTAAATCTACCAATCCAAAGGTTTCCACACATATACATGTGTGTGTATGCTTGAATTACAAATGAAGTAGCTCTAAATTACTATCTATAAATGCGCGACCCACCAAATGAAATTAGAAGTACATTTCTGATATGACTACAACTTAAGGCTAGAATATATATGAATCTGACATGGGGGCTGAAGAACAAAATATATGCATTCGATTTTTTTTTTCAAATTTTTCACCAAAAATTTTTAAATTATAAGTTTTGATTTCGTGTTATTTGACAGGGCATGCTTCTTATTGCACCTCCAAAATTAATGCTGTTTTTGGTTACATATAAATTTGAATTTGAACCAAATTTTTTATTTGAGCACTTACAAATTTATGGGTTTGGATAAAATCTAAATTCAAATTTTTTCTCAATTTATTTATAATTTAAAATCCTTTTTAAATTCTTTTTATTTCAAATTTCAACATGCACCCTAGAAATTAGGAATGTCCATGCTTGTTCCCATCTTAGGACTAGTACTCCTCCCTTCCCTTCCTTTCACCTTACATTCATATCAGTAGATAGTTGGATAAAGTGCTCTGGTGTTGATTGTTGTGGACAAATTAAGTCATACAAGTTATAATGAAAGATGACATGGAATCCTGTGGTATCGTTATTACTATAGAAAACTAGTGTTGTAGTATCGTTTCAGTTGGAGAGTAATATTGGACAGTTATTTTCTTGACATTCAAGTATTTGTTCATTAATTTTGATTATTTTTTAGTTTAGTGCCTTATGCAAACTATGATTTTTTTTTTTAATGGTCAGTCTCCTTTAAAAGTTTTATAAATCAAGTTGATGTAGTTGAGTTTTATCTTAAACTAGCTAGACTAAGTGGTATTGTGTTTGCTTAGTTTACGCGCCAGTCAAGATTCAGATTTTGGGCCTTGACAACTTACTGGCGATGACTCAGTTGCACTTGGATAGCCTACTTTGACTAGACTTTGATACCATCTATTGAGATTTAAGTGGGAATGAACTTGGACAAGGAAGAAATGACTTTAATATAAAAAACCTTCATTATTTACTCAAATGATAATATACACAAAGACTTGTGTCTTTTCTTACCCTTCTACCTCATTCTTAAATATATCTGGCAGCATAACCCATGTGATTAATTAGAGTAATTAGTTTATTCATGTAGCAGCCTAATAAATCACATTTGGAAGTGATACGATGAATATTAAACTATGTCAAATAAACTATTGATTTAGCATCTTATAACAAGAAAGGGCTTGCATGCAGATTATTACAAGGAGACTAGCGACCATGAGATACAAGACCAAATACTTCAATACAAGGCACCTGACTATCGAGAGCAACAACCATGGCAGTGTAAGAAAGCAACCCGTTGATGAAGACTCGTATGAAGAACAAATTATCAAGTAGAACTGCATTGTTTCATTTAATCTGCTATTTGATTAGTAGAAAATTCAATCTTCCACGCTCACACCAAGCATATAAAGGTACATTACTATTATATTAAAGAGAAGGTTCTTCAATACGAAATTGTGATGCAGTCAAAGAACACCAAATATCAAATTACAAATATATTTAGTTATTTACAAAGTCACTTAGGTGAGGCAAAATTGAAGAATTCATGTAATAATGTAGAATGACAAAGATAAATTGAAAGTAGTGATTGAGGGGGTTTGTCTCTCCCCTTTTCCAATTTTCTTGCTATCAATATATATCTCATTCTAGAAGCTACAGGCATAAGATATTACTTTGTGAGAGTGCCTAAAGAAAGTGAGTGTGTTAGGAAGAGCGACATAAGAAAAATGAAAGAGTGAGGTAGAATTGTAAGAAAAGGCACAAGTCTTTATGTTTATTATCATTTGAGTAAAAAATATAAAAAAAAATCATTGAAATCCCTCCTTGGCCTTGTTGAAGTTTTTCACCAACTTTTTGGAAGTTCTTTCACTTAAATCTCAACAATTTTGTGTGGAATCAATTTTATTCACTTTTTCCTTTTTCTAACGTTACAAGGAATTTGTGATTGTCAAATTTAGTAGTTCTTTTCTTCCTAGCCAATAAGTAAAAAGGTAGACAGATTTTAATTTTTTGGGTAAAAAAAAAGCTAGATGGACATTCAAAACAAACAAAAGTAGAAAGAAAGAAAATGTGAAGTTAATGATTGAACGTAAGATAATTGTAGAAAACTAGCATCCAAGGATTGTTGAGAATAACTGATATCAATTAATGATTAGTTGACCTTAAAATTATACTACAGTCCCTTAATTCTTAACTGATATTAATTTTTAAAGTCGAAAGTTCAAAATGTCTCTCAAGTTAAAAACAAAACAAAAAAGAAACCCCACTATCGCCGACCATCAGACCGCCGGCAAGGTCATCGAAGTCCCTTTTGCTTGTGGGGTCTCCAACGGCTGGTCATCAGAGCTCCCACTTTGTCGATGTTTTATTTTAGAAATAATTTTTTTAGGTGGCCAAGTATGTGTTAGTCCTTCATCAACAAGTATCCATTTAGATTTTGACAACAACCTATTCATGATTAACAACAATCCATTTGAACTTTTAACAAGTCAAATACATGAAATTTTAAAGCTTTCAATTTATAATTATCCATATCAGATTAACAAATAACATTTATAAAATAACAAGTTATGTTCAGAAATTAACAACACATTGTTATGTTACGACATAGAAGCGGTTACAAGTTCGGTTTATTACTTATATTTTGTTTTTGCTATATATAATTAAATGGCTTGGTAACCTAGTAGCTACTAAGTTTTTTAAATGGTTAAAGGTCATGGGATCAAACCGTCCCTCGATCACCTAAACCAATTATTTCTCAAATAAAATATTGCTGGCGCCAAAGCTTCGGTGATTGGTTGTCGGCAACCCTGCCAGCAGCAGGAGCTTTGACGACTTGTTGGTGACGGTGGGTTTCTTTTTTCTTTTTTTTTTTTTTAACTACTTGAGGGGTAATTTCATCATCTTGCTTATGAAATTAATGTAAAAGAAGGATAAGAGGATTATAGAGTAAATACCAAATCATTTGGTCCTTGTGTAATATAAATTTGACACAATAGTCCTTGGATGCTATTTTTCCATAATTGTATTTGATATATTTTTCATTTTTGTCAATTTTAAATTTTATTATATGATTTTAATTTTTAATAAATAAATGTAAAATATTAATTATCTTATATTCTATACAACAAAGCTATCTTTTATATGGTATAACCATACATAACTTAAAAGAAAATATATTGTAAATTATAATTAGTGTCATGTCACTGTTGATCTACAGTTCTTTCAACAGTGATGGTTGGGCCTAATTTATATTTTTCATTTATTATTGTCAAATAAAAAGATAATAATAGAGGGAAAGAAAAAGGAAATTGATGGACAACAATATACTCGATTGTAAATTATAAAACAATTTTAAACATATTTTATTATAATAAAATACAACACAATTTAATAAAAATAAATTTTTATTAATAATATATTTTTAATATTACCTTTCATATGAAAATAGAATTGAAGTAATTGTAGTATTGTGATTGTATAGATTTAAAGTTATATTAAATGAATGATATTTTTAAAAATTTATTTTTTTACCTTGAAAAAATTAATTTGTGAAGTGTCATTATTAAATTTTATTGATATATATATAAACACATATAATCTTGTCTCAAATTATCTTATAATTTAAGATGAAGGGAGCAGACAAGAAGTATAATGATCTAATATGCAAATAAATAGTATTTTAGTAATTAGTAAAAAAATAAAAAAAGTTTAATGTGAGACTCTTAATGAAATAACAAAAAGTAAATAGAAAGATAGGTGTTAAGAATTTTAAACACGCAAAATATCAAATTTTATAATAAAATGATTTTTTTATATTTTTAATAGAGAAAATTAACTCAATGGCCTCAAAAAATACAATTTTCATAAATTATGGATGAAATTTTTTAATATTTTAAAATATGGTCCATTCATAAAATCAATTAGATGTGTTTTTTATTTTTTATTCTCAAAATATATTTATTATTAAAACAGAATATATTTAGTTTAACTAATCTTTAACTGATTGGATTTTTTATTTTTATTATCAAAAATCGTATTGTGCGTGCTCTCTCTTTAATTTATCATTTTTGAATATTTTTTTCATCATATTTTTTGATTTGATTTTTTTGGATCATCATATTTATATCTCTTAGAGTGCTTTTCTTCATCAAATTTTTTGATCTGGTTTGTTTGGATCACCATATTCATTGCAGAGCTTTTCCTCTCTCTCCCTCTCTATTTTTACTAAATATTATAAAGAGGACATTAGATATTGAAGAGAAGACTTTATTACTGATTTGCGATACTACATCATTGATATACGAATGTATATCAATGATAAACAAATTGATAAATTTTTACTGATATGGCTTATATATCAGTGATATATAATAATGTATCACTAATATACTATTGTATATCAATATAACCAGACAATGAGGCATAAACTTATTCATAATTGATATACAGTTATATATTAATGATGTAGTGTCACATATCAATAATAAAAAAAATACATAATCATTT